GTTTGTAATAGCCTATGATCCACCTTCCTTTGGATTCAAGAAAAGTGAAACAAAGTGGATAATTCGGGCACCGTGGTTATTCTTCACCTCACCACCTATTTCCTATCATTTCAAAGAACCCTGTTTCCTTAAGAGGATTCTCTTAGCAGCCAATAAACAACCCAGGCTCTTTATTAAGCCATTTCCTTCGGTGCCACCCTCCACCGGCTCATTTTCAGGCTTTCTTTTGTTTTGCCAATCTTCGGTGTGGCACGGGAATGGAAAATGTCCAGCCTAAACCTAGCAAGACATCTCCATAAGTGTTGTGCTTGGTTCAACCCCTTTCAAATCTGAACGGTTTGCGGTGTTCCTAACTTTGGAGGGAAGTATGTGGCCCAACCATCCTGGACGCACCGGGTCTCGTTGAAACCCTGAGGGGAAAATCCCTATCCAGACGTGCGAAGTCGCCACCTTTCTTAGCACTGATTTCCCCTACTTTATAAGCAGAGCGCCTCGGTGAAACTTAAGATGGTCTGTCTGCTGGAGCTGAGCTAGAAGTCTCCGCGTTGGCTCGGATTTCTTTAATAGCGAACAACGGCACTATCTCAACTCTTGGCAGAAGACTAGAACTGAAAGAATTCGTGTGAAGTGATACTGTGTGGGGATTTATAGTCCCTTGGCAAATTCAGTTTGCATTATAGCAGGCTGTAGGCGTTTGCCTTTATATGGTAGACACACTATTTTTTTAAAGGTATTATTGTTGGTGTCACACCTACAACCACAGGTCTGAACACTAGGGGGCAACCTTGGCCTTTTTTGTAGTCAAAGCTCTTTAAAACTAGCATTTTAAGGAAAATAACTGAGTCGTCATGCCTGACGCTCCCCTTCCTCCAGTTTTATTTTAATGTTGCCATCCACATTTATGCAATTGGCATGTTATTCTTAAAGGCAGACTCAAGCAAAGTAGAGGAGCATTAAACATGCATAAATAGGACCCCCCGCCCCTATGGCATTCAGGCAGGAGTAAGAGCGGCCTACTTTCCCTTGCCTTCATAGGTTAAATATTTGTTCTAGGTCTGGGGACCTCTGTGGTGAACAGGGTGAAAGGTTCAGGCATTATGCTGGCCTGCCTCTGTTACCTGGCAGAGTCCAGACAGTACCCTGGTCAGCCCAGGGTTCCACGGGAACTAAGTCTGCATGCAGGTGCAAAGGACCCCTTTAAAAGACAGACCCCTGCCCACTTACGCTTCTCTTCTCTTACGCTTTTCTGTACCTCTCTCTCTCTTTCTCTGTCCTACTCTGTTCTTCCATGTCTTGCTCTCCCATCGTAATAAACTATATGATTAATATACTCTTTATGTTCTCCATGGTTCATGTTCCATAGAGCGTGCCTTTAATTTAAGCAGAAGCCTAACACAGAGGACACAGCCTTTGCTTCTGTGGAGTTTGCACTGGCATGGAAGAGACATCAACCAACTAAATAAAATATTTTTAAGTAACAGTAATTTAAAATAACGCTGTACAGGATGTACAGAGGACAGTGTGGAGGTCAGAAAGGGCCTC